GGCCCCTGAAAGGCCAAACGGCATACGCAAAAATGCATAAGTGCCAGACTTGGTTATAAAAGCAGTCTTAGGCACGTCCTCAGGCCTGAACCCCTATTTGAAAATAACCATTCGTTAAGTCTAAAGTCGTCATAAATTTGGTTGATTTTATGTTCCTTAAAATTTCTTCTATAATCGGTAACGGATATACCGGATATTTCGTTATGGAGTTTAATTTACGGTAATCAATAGCGAATCTCCACCTTTTTGGATGCTCCAAAGGATAGTCATTATTTTTTTCTTACATAAAACCACCGGGCTAGCATAACTACTTGAGATGGGCGTTATGATCTTTTTACGTAGCATATCGGTAATATGCCATTCTATAATTTTTTCCTTATTCTTATCATACCGGTATGGTTTTTGACGAACTGGCAATGCAATCTCCGGTGTCAATACTATGGTTAGTAACCTGAGTAAATCCTGGAATATCACTAAATAACGAAGCAAATTCACTTACCACTTGTCGGATTCTATCTTGCTCGTTCATTAGGCAGGTGGTCAAGATTTTAACCTTGGCGGTTCAACCTTTTCTTCACGCAACTGGTTTCATCGTCAGCTTAAGGGACGCTTCATTAAAATCCAGTGTAGCTTGTGCGTCTGAAAGAAAGTCTATTCCTAAGATTAAATGTGCTTGCAAATTCTTTACTATAAAAAACATCACCTTTACTTGTTCGTCCTTGATACGGATATATAAAGGTACTTTACCTACGCACTTACATTCTTTCTCCTTGCGCCGCTAACACTGTCGTATTATCCGCAATTATATATGCGGTATTTACGAAAATACTTCCTAAAAAAGACTTCTGCCACACAGGAACACTGCGCGCCGGTATCCAGGAGTGCGGTGGCTGGGATATTATTCACCAACACTTCAATCTTCGGAAGAGTCAAATTTTTCACCATTACTGTATTTAACTTGAAGGAAGAGGGGTTTTCGTGGCCTTCGGATTTCCGCACCCTCTCGTCAGCAGCAGAAATCCGTTTTAGTTTAAATTATTTTTTCTTTCGGTGCTTTCCTTCTTTTTCTTTTTCCACTGGCCTTGAGACTTTTTTCCTGGGTTGCTATTGAACTGTCGACGTTCGCCGGCTGTTTTTGAATGCTCGGGTTTCCTTGCCCACTGATTCGCTTTTTCTTCCGTAGCCGTGTGCTTGAGTTTGCTGTAGTCTTGGCGTACCAAATTGGTTTCGCTGTTGATATTGGCGTCTTCTTTCTTTCGACGTCCGTCCGCCGTTCTTCTACTTTCAAACTGGATTGCTAGCTCAAATAACTTTTCCAGTGTAGTCGGATTTCTTAATTCAATAAAGTCTTGCACTTGGGGTAGTAACCTCGGCCTCGGCAAAATCACTTGAATTATTTCAGGATCCGGACGGTTTCCATACAAGAGCTTTGAAAACGTGAATTTTTCTTAAAATAAAGCTCGAGAGGTTTTCGATTCTTTGTTGATATATGCTGAAAAGTTCCGTTTCTAATTTCGCACGATCCCTTACAACAGGGAAGGCTTTTAGTAGGGCAGTCTTGAAATTTTCGTAAGTATAGGTGGGACTTCCTGCTTGACCCAAGAGACTTCTGCCGATACATTTGAACCAGTTAAGCGCTTGGCCCCTCAAAGCGCTGGTAGCTAAGGTAACTTTTTGAAACTCGTGCACGGGGTAGAGCATGAAGTGGTCATCCAATTTTTCCAAAAAACTGGTTACCGGTGAGTTTCCATTAAATGTTGCTTCTGGTTTCATCGAAGCGCGCATGGTCTGGACGATGTACCCAAATCCTTCCAGGGCGGCAGCTGGCATTTCTGGATTCTGAGCCGTTTCTGCAGCTTCTGCAGGCAGCACAGGTTCTTCTTGAAACTCGGCCATGGTTATTCTTCGTTCGGGCGCCACTATCAGGTTCAATGTTTCTTCTAACCTTCTTCGGAAACATACAATGACCTGACTCGGAACAGAGAGCTTACTAAAGCTATGTTCACTAATTGGTAAGTAGACAGGATACAGACGAAGGGTATACAAAACCCTTTATTTTTCTTTATATACAATGACTTCCGTACTTCGGAATACAATGACCCTCCACTCGGGGTCTAACGTAAAAGGTATAAAAATAAAACTAAACTCTAATTTAACTTTAGAATAACACACGTGGAAGATTGGCCTTATAATAACAGGAAGCGTATGTAGCACAGAGACTGTGAAACACTACAATACGTTTAATTTTATCAAGAGGATTAAAACCTCTGGCCTGGAAGGCAAATAGCAACTGCGTAACTTCTAAGGTAAGCGGCCTGCTTCGAACTCACTGCTTCCTCCCTTTCGCTGGCAAAAAGGCCACCACTTAAATACTTGGCGTTCGCCAGACAAACTTTGCATAAAATCCTTAACGCTTATAATTCTGGCCGGAAGTAGAAAATAAGAAGTGATAGTAAAGATTTAAAATAAAATAAACGTTAGTAAAACTTAAGATCCTTACAAAGTGTCATAAACTTACCCTGCTTTACGTTAGTACAAGGCATGGATGTAAGAAGAGAAGAAGGGGCCAACTCCGCACTACGGGTGAAGCGCTGCTCCCAGGCTTTGGGATGGGGTGTTTTTTGTTTACATCCAGAGCTTCCTTGACAGCAATTTGATAGTATTTCCACACACGACAGTTCCATACAAATCGAAAAGCGGGACACTTCCGCACAAAATAAGCATTTATTGTTGGATGGATAATAGAAAATTTTATAGTTTACGTACATCTAAGCCAAAATCACATCTTGGTTATTTTACAATAATTCGCAACAGCGATTTTGAGGCGCTTTTAAAATTGCATAAGTCTTTCTATACCCTTGATAGAGTATTTGCTTTTATTTCATGTTCCACACATCAAAATGTTTTAAAAAATACATGTTTTGTCATTCACATTTTATCATTTTATTGTTGTATAACTGAAAATAAACACTGTGGGTTTACACTTTCTGAATTCTTACTTACTTTCTCAATTACCTGGCAGTATGAAAATTTCAGGTATTTGTAAATTTCAGAAAGTTGTGGAAAAAAAAAAAGAATCCTTTTTTTAATTCCCTTTCAGAATGATTTATAGAAAGTTAAGTACGTGGAAATCAACACCAATATTTAATATATTTCACTATTAAAATAAAAGGTGCTCCAGTTTGAAATGAACCGAACAAAGCATTATTATAAATTGACTCAGATTTTCGATTTAAAAGATACCTCAGAAGCTAAAAAAATCATCTCATATTTGAGAAATTATTTTAGGAGGAAGCTCTGTAAATAGAAAAGAAATCATGTGTAATTTTAATTTTAATAATACAATAAATTTTGATCTTAATTTTTGTAATCCTTAATCGAATAAAATCGAATTACCTTAAAATTTGTTTCTAACATAATTAACGAAAAACTTGTGAAAATATTTGATTTAAATTAAACTGTTCTGGAAAACGTATAGCATTTAATTCCGTTGAGAATGAAATGTTGTTAAAAAATGCATTGTTTTCACATATTTGAAATATTGTAGAAAAAGAAAATATATACATTTATACGTATATTTACGACGTAATTACCAAATTACATCCGATCATGTCAAACCCCATTGATCTTAATGGTAAGCCACTGAATGTTTTGGTTTCCACGAAGGGATCGCCACTGCTTCATAGCAGTGAATGGGGAAAAACCAGTTAAAGCCTCTCCTCTTACTTCCTACCTCCATGATACAAGGGGCTGGAAAAAGAAATAAGAGAAGGGTGGTCATCAACTATTTCGTTTCGGTTTAAATCAGGAATAAAATTGTTAAAGTGTTTTTGGAATAAGACTATTTTGTCCCTTTTATACATCGGGAGAAATTGGCTGCGTCCGCAGGGGCTAGAAATGTGCTTTTACTGTGGTCTTTTCGGACGCGACAGAGACCGTTCTGGTACCCTCAAGTTCATTTCTGGCTGTGTATACCTTGGTATAAAATTTAGATATTCACTGATGGTCAGGTATTCCAAATCTCGCATAAGCGGTTCTGATTAGAAGCTTGTCCGTTAAAGTCCTGTGCAAAAAATAATAGTTGTTCTCATTTTTGACCATTGATGTAATGGCCAGTATTTCAATTAAATTCTTACGTTGTCGAAAAATAGCACTAATCACGTGATTAATTCAACACACTAAATAATCTGTACTTGCGTGTTAATTGCTACTGAGACCATCGGTTAGTTTGGAAGAAACGGATACAGTCTGAAACCGAAGACTTCAGTTGCGGAGTTGAATACCAGGAAATTTGATTTTCCCGCTATTTGGGTAATAAAAATGTTCGAAGATAATTTTCCAATCAATAACATTTTTATCGTTGAGTTGTTTCTGGCAAAATGAGATTAACTTATTGCACCAATATTTATCGAACGGCTCCAATAAATGGTATCCGGCTTCTTTCAAATCAGTTTTGTAACCTTTTGTTTTCATTTTTTAATACTGCACTTCAACAGTATATTTTCGTTAATGACATGTAATTTCATTGTATGAGAATTAGAACTTTCTCGATTGTTCGGTAATATGCCGTGACTCTGAAAAAAAAAAATAGATAACTTCCGGTCTGTTATCCCGAAAATCTCAGAGACCTATTAAGAAAATAACAAATGCTCAACAAACAGAAGGGTGGAGTTCGTTGAAGCAAACAGAACAATATTGAGCGTCTGTTTAACCGTACAAGAGAGGTGGGCATAAATGCAATAAGGAGGCAAAAGTTGATTGGCAAGTTTTCAATACATCTTGCAACCAACAAAATTTCCAGGTAGGAGTTACTATCTAAGTGCTAAATAATGTAACATTTTTGCTTTGGCCGCCAAGAAAATTTTACTCCCTCTCATTTTTATAGTAAGTAATAATCACATTCTTCACATTATGAGACAGAGATATGACTCCGATACTTAGAAAACTAAATATATTTTAATATCTAATCATAGTAAATTTAAAAGTATATGAATTCTTACCTCCTTTGAATTCTCTGAGCCTGGAGGCAACCTCTTCGTTGCTTCCATAGATGAAATTGCCGTCGATATAGGCGGAAATGGCATTGATTTGCCAGCGAGGACCTATTCAGAAACAAATAAAGAGTAATTCATAAATCTTAAATAATTTCAAAGGTTAGTTACTTTTTGTTTCAGTTTCTCTAGATACTGTGCAATTTCCAGTCACTTTGTTTTTAAAATATAATATTTAAATACATTATATTACTGCTTTTGCTATTTAAAAATTATGTATTTAAAGTTATTACATTTATTAACTACTATAAATGAGGTTTCACTGCATGTATATGTAATCATTTAGTTGTGAATGAGAGAAGGCATCAGTTAACTGTGCAGTCATGGCCGGAGTGGTGATAGATGCGGCAGACATGCAGATTGCGTCGGATGGAATTTTGGAAAAATAGAAATAAAGGAATAATCATAACATAGCTTTATTTCTTGACGACTAAACTATAAAGACATATTTTTTGATTGATACAAAACCAGGGGTGCTGATAAGCGCTCCACAATTTTATATACGTCTATTACATTGTTAACAATAGATGATAGCTGCCAAGTAGTTAACCACCTGCTTGCGTAATGAGAGTAGGGGAGAAAAAGTTGACTGCGTGTTAACTTTTTTCCTCTAAAACTATAGAAATAAGAAAAATCGTCTGAAATTTAAGGTGGTATTTTTGACGCTATTTCACTGCATTTGCGCATAAAAATTTAAACTTATTGGCAATTTATACAGTTATATACAAAATATGGCTAACTGTAAAAATTTACAATACTCAATTTATAGTATCAAATTGAATGCTATTTCTTAAATTTTTTCAGACCATATGCATAAAATTAAATTATAATTTAATTTTTATTGGTATAGTCTGAAAACATGGAAAATGGTTTTATCTTTCTCTATAGCAAATTAGGAACAGTTGCCCAAAATTTATTAATTCGATTAAAAATTTAGGAACGCCATAACCATTTTTGCAAGAAAATTACTTCATCGTATGGAACTTTGCAGAAGGCACTTATTTAACAATTTCCATGCTCATAAGATAATTGCTTAATTACTATCTTTCTGCGTTTTGATTACGGACTAAATATTTTTTTTTTTTGTTATAAAATGCAATTTTTTTGTGTGTTTTCATTACGCTGGAATTTGCAAGAAAAATTATATGGGTTTTTATTATAAAAAGCAAGATGCCGAACTTTACTGTTTTAGAGCGGTAACATGCCACCTATTCTTCGCAACATAAGAATTTATGAAAAAAAACTGAATTTTTTTGTTGTGGAATGCTAACATGCCGACTATTCCTTTACCTTTTTTAATACTGAACTATGCAAAAATAGAATGGAATTTGGGTATTTTCACATGGCAACATATAAAGCATTCTTCCACCTCTAGCATACTAGAATTAGCAACAGAATATCTAGAATTTTTGTTATTAACATTTTAAGTTTTCGTAAGTTTTTAGAAATTATAATTAAAAATGGAGAATTACTCACCAAGTCTGCATCCAGGTTGTAAGCCAGCCAAAGATCTAGCGAAATTCATGCATCGGCGGTCAAAGAATTTGTAAAAAGGATCGTCTTGAGGAATGTCAACTGGGTAGCAATTGTAGTGCCTCCTATCCACTGGAGTCTTGCAACATTCGATGCTTCTCTTACGGGTATCTGTGTAAAAGAGTAAGATACTGGCATGTTCAACATTTCAAACAAGTTCTTTATCACAACAACAGTATTATTTTGCCTTCTTGTGAAAAATGTACAGAGAAGACAAATATTCCTATAAATTGTAAGAGATAAGAAGAGATTATTACTTTTAGTAAATCTACTCTTTTATATAAAACAATTTCAGTTCTTTGCCTTCAAATTAACATACTACAAAGTATCCTACCAAGACCGCTTAAACTCTGTACAGGCAGATTCCTTGCTTGGAATGCAAAAAAAAATGTGGAAAGAACTCTGCCTATACGACCCATCGTTTTGGAGATAAATGCGAAAGAAAAATATGACGTCATATCTGGTGAAATGAAAAAAAAAAAAAAACATGAGCATCAGTATTTGCATATATTTACATAAGAAGATGTTCAAATTGTTCACCCCGCATATTACTGAGGCAAGCGTGCGCGCGCCGAGAAATTACTGACTGCACACGTTGCGGCAGCGTGGTGTCCACCAAAGTACACGCAGCATGAAGAGGAACAGTTAAGTCACTTTCTGTTGTAACAAGTTCGAATTGAATCTATTGTGAATATGAATTTCGTAATATGTTTATTTGATCTTGTAGCATGCGTGTAGGCTTCTGGCCAGTGGAAAGAAATACCTGCAGTAACAATGTCTCGATAGACCAATTTCTCTAAGATGGTCCCATAGGAAGAAATCAAAAAGTATCAGATCTGGTGATCATGGCAGCTATAAAAATAGACCCCCACGTCCAATCTAATGGCCTGTATACTCCATATCCAGCCAATCATTATAGGAGTGCTGAAATGCGCTGGAGCTCCATTATGCTAGAACCATAGGCCATGTATTGCAAACGAAGGGTAAATCATCTAGGGAATCGGTTAACACATCACGGAGAAATACTAAGTATGAATGTCTCGTGGTTCAGGCAGATCATATAAGCAGACCATATCTACTGCCGTTGGTCCAGTGATGCGATTGTCCTAGTAGGCTGGCCCACACATTTTACATACCAGCAGACTTGATGTCTCTATGGGCGGATAGCATGAGGACTGGAATCTGACAAAATATGGCTATTGTTATTATTGAAGACCCAGTCATGTGCGAAACATGCTTCATTAGTCCATAAGATATGTGCAATGAAAGCATTATTGGCTTCATGTTGTTACAACAGCCATTCAATAAAGCCAGTCGTCCCTGAAAGTCATCTGGATGTAGATTCTGTACGTTTGTGTAGAGAAATGGGTATAGTTAGACTATTCAATTATTGATAACAGGATCTAAGATGAAACTACAGCAATTGAACGATGAGATCACGCATCCGTTTGTGTTTCTAATGAAACTTGAATTCGCATAACTCATCAAAAGCATCTATTTTTGATATTCATATTCAGAATACCTACTTTCTCTTTCTCATTATTTATAAACCATAATTAAACGCTGTACTGCTCGTATGTTCTTTCAGGATACAGCCATTTGTAACCCCCCCCCAAAAAAAAAACACCATCGAATGTAACATGTCTTTTATTTCTGCAACAACATTAAAGGATTGGTGTACAACATCTTCCATAAAAGTGGTAAGGAACTTGTAACATACATATATCTGTAGTTGTTTGGGAAGTCCGAGACATGCTAAGAATTTTTGAAAATACAAATGATTCCATGCGCCTATAAAGTTAAGAGTGTGTTATAATTTATAGTCACAATTTTGAACAGCTTCTGAAACCAAAATATATTTCGCAAAAGTCTTGTGAGTTACAAAACTTTTTGCTTTCTTACTCGCTGCTGTTTCATTTCTCGTTCACTCTGTGCAATAGCAAAAGAAGCTACTATTTCTGACCCTGCACTGTTATATGATTTTGGTTCAACTTCATGCAACCTATCCCTACCAGAAATTTGTACATGCTTAGCTGGACCACTTTGCATAAAACTTTATTAAATTATATCATACAGTATCATTTATAAGCTTAATTTTAAGTTATAAGTTTCGTGCTGAGCGAAAAGAAAGGAAAAAGTATTCTGCAGTGAGTTACGGAATATATAATGTTAGAAACATGTTTTATTAATTGCAGCAATAAGGAAACATTCAGTAGATTTTCCAATTAGATATACTGTAAATTATTCTACCAGTTATAGGTATCATATATTAGGTCAATTATATATTATCAAAATAAAATGAAAGCATAATTTATAAAGAAATACAAGATATTTATTATTTTTAAATCACTGAGTTTATTAGAATACAAAAAGATAAATCTAAAATATCACATCATCCGAATAGCGGCATTCTGATAACGGCTATTTGTTACGCAGCGTGATTGATAAATTAAAGATCTTATGCAGTGTAGTCCGTTAATATAATAATATGTGCCGTGCTAGAATAATGTAATACAACACAATTAAATGGCCCACAAATTTGAAATATTCCCCAACAAATATTCTAGAATTAACTCTACAGTTCTGGAATTTTCCGCAAAAGTACTCGTACAGCTCTTCTCAGTATGACAGAGCACAGTCAGTAGTTATCGCTTGAAACTATCAAGAGCGTTAAACACAACGCAATGCAAAGCGCACGTAGCTCGCATGGAGATCTCTCAGTACTCTGAACTAAAAAACGGACGCTTTCTCCGGTCTTGTATATGTTTTACCCCGGCCGTCAAAAAATGTTCAGTACCTTTCATTTCTCGAAATTACTGGAAGGTACATATGGTTAAAGTTACATATAAGAGGCGGATACGGTTGAAGTTACATATAGGAATCAATTACAGTTATTCCAATTCTTAACAAAACTTTTACTTATTATGAAGGAAGTGTTATGTCTTATCCACGTATACTTTTCCACAATACAAAACTTAGGTCAGTCCGGCTACTGTGCATCTACTAAAATACTGCAAATTATATAATTTATCATACGAGTTTTGCCATTAGTGATTACTATGAGTGGCCTTCCACTCACTATTTGTGGAAGTTTATCTAACTTTAAATTATTAATTTTAGTCCTTTTCACTATCTTCGCGCATTACCGTGGCAGATGCTGACTTTCATTCACGTGTCTGAATCTTTAACAACGCAGCCTGCTTTACATCCTTCAGTCCGAAAGTATTTGATGTCCGAAAGTACTTTATAGCTTTTAATTTATATCGACGATGCTTCAAAATCCAAAGTTACTATGTTAATTTAAATTTATATCGATGATTCTTCGAAGTCAAGTTATTATGTCCACGAACAAGGAAAGTTACTCTAGCTAGTGGGGGTGTGAAGCCATCACATTTAGGTTAAACGCATTGAGCATTACACCCAGCTCGACTTTCGTATTAGTGCTCTAGTGTACATCTCAATTGTCAGTTACACATGTATAACTGCACCTCAACTAAAATTTATAAGCAATGTCATCATTAATAGTTTAGAGAGAATTCATGCGTTTCATCGCGTGTGTATTTGAGTAATTTATTTCATAATCCAGTGAAGTGAAACGCTAATCATACTCCACTAAGTTATTTTCTTGTGGGAAAGAAATTATCCATAATGCCCTAATTCATGCAAGAAAACAACAAAAATAGAAATAGAATAACGGGACCATTCCGCTGATTCAATATCCTGAACATCAGATAATAAAATGAAGAATGTTATATTCATTTCTTTCGTTTTAAGGGATAAAAATTGCGATTCAACACATGACAACATTATACAAACATTTATACAACTAATAAAACATTTTAGAATAGAATTTCATTACAAAAATGCTCCTGATAATATTAGTGACTATTACAAGAGTTACAAATTTTGAATAAAAAAAATTTAATATATTGTGCGACGAAACATAATAAAGAGTTCTAAGAGAACCAAGTAATAAGTCATATAAATTTTATGTAGGTAGAAGAAGGCAAGAGATTCAAACACTTGGGCTTCCATTAGCTGCAATAAATAAAATGAAAGTATATCACAAAAGAAAGTACAGATCCCAATGACCCTTAGATCTCTTTGATGTGTAACTGAGCTTTAAAAAGCGCACATTATATGGAATCAGTAATAATTATAACTTCGATACAAAGCGAGAGATGCCAATAAAATCTAGTCAATTCTGGAATAATAAAAACATATAAAAGGAGTGCTGGTTAAAAAATTAGTTGGTGCTAAACTGATGAGTCAATTAATACATAAGATTAACAACAAAGACTGGGTCAGTCTTCTCTTTCTTTGTTTTTCGGTATGACCCTGAACAGACAAAAAAAATTAAAATTGGCTTTTATAAAAGAAAAAGAATTCATTTCATTGGGGGTAAAGAATGACAAATTAGAAACTTTTCAAAACATTAAGTAAAAATTCCAAAAGGACACACTTTTCTAGTAAGGAATTTTACCCAGTAGAAGATTTCTGTAATTGATGATGCAATAATTTTTGTAGATAAATGTTATGTGCCAAGACTGGATGGCACCTATCCAAAACAAATAGCTTCAAACAAGTTTGCAGAAGACTGAAAGATCAAGGTTGCGGTTTGCAAAAGAGATTAAATTTCTACGCCCTATTCCAAATTCGAGCATCAAATGTTATCTATTAGACAATGTAATAGCATGATCATTTTTATAGGGTTTGGTGTTTTTGGTAGCATAAACTAGGTCTGACTACTGCCAGAGAATACACAAACTGATTTAACGCGAAGCTGGGTCAAACTTCTTACCGGAGTAACAATTCGAATATCTGCAGCTACACGCAACGTCGAAGAATTACAACCTTATCAGAGATAGCGAAACCTGCTAACGTTGCCTTGAGAGGCAGAAACAAGCTCTGTCTTGCAATCTGAAAAATCTCAGCTTAAATACGTTTTAAACTATAAAGTAACTAGTTATACAAAATAATAATAATTCTACAGTTTCATAATCTGAGCGTCTACTGAATCAAACTACTTTTGAGTTTCTTATTAATACTTTATATAGCTTTTGATTTGATTGAAGGGCGGCTTGAGCGTAGCATTGCGTAAGTTTTTATTT